GTTTCACCGTGTTGACCAGGATGGTCTTGATCTCTTGACCTCGTGATCCACCCGCCTCGGCCTCCCAAAGTGCTGGGATTACAGGCGTGAGCCACAGCGCCCGGCCTAAGAGCATCTCTTATCAACAGCTTCTGAACTTTTTCTAGCTCCAATCCAAAGCAAATATTTACCTTACTAATACTAATTCCACAAGTAATCAAGTATAAGGAGGAGAAGAGATAGGGAGACAAGAATAAAGTATTATTTAGGAAAAGAAGATAAAATTTAAAGAGAAGAAGAAATGATCACAAAAAGAAATGAGTCTTTTCATCTGTGGAGCTGTTGGGGTTCACACACTTTCTTTAGTAGCTGCTTAATAAAGGAGAAACAATTGAATGCCTTGGGTTCTGTCTGGGCTTGGCTACTAATTAGATATGTAATTCTAAGTAAATAAGCTTGTTGCCTAGACAACTCCTAAAATCTGAGAGAGCTGGTGGTCTAGAGACATTGTTAATCTTTTCTAGGACACGGACCTTTTGAGAATCTAACAGAGTTATTGGGCCCTCATCCTGAAAAGCAGCAGATGTGCACAAACAGCAAGTCATACAGAATTTCAGAGGTTTAAGAGAAGCCATTGATAGTGATTCCCTGAAACTCTTCCAGAGACTCCTTCCTCAAGTCCCCTCCCTGCAGATTAAGAATTTCTGGCCTAAATATGATACTCTGTTTCTACTAGTACCTGTATGAGTTCTGATATGTTTCTGTAGATCTCCTGAAGTTTTGAAAGATTTAGTACAATTATCTTCTGAACACCGATATGGCTTTTCTCCTGTATGAGTTCTGACATGACTTTTTAATCCATAACCTTTAAGAAAAAATTAAAAGAAATTTAATTACACAATACTCCTCGAAACATGCACATTGAGATTAAGCTACTGAAAAATACAGTCAATACCAAGTATAAAATATTAGGCATATACACAGAGTACTTAAAATGTACAAAAGGGCTGGGTGTGGTGGCTCACACCGGTAACCCTGGCACTTTGGGAGGCAGAGGCGGGTGGATCACCTGAAGTCAGGAGTTTGAGACCAGCCTGGCCAACATGGTGAAACCCGTCTCTACTAAAAATACAAAAAATTATCCAGGAATGGTGGCGTGCGCCTGTTGTCCTGGCTACTCAGGAGACTGAGACAGGAGAATCGCTTGAACCCAGGAGGTGGAGGTTTCAGTGAACCGAGATCATGCAATTGCACTCCAGCCTGGGCAACAAAGTGAGATTTCATCTCAAAAAAAAAGTAAAAATGTATCATAGCTCAGGACTGCCATGCTGAAAATTGAACAGTTTCATCTCTGTCTAGAAGAGGTTGTGTGTTTCTTTTTTTAAAAGTGCCTCAGTTTTATTAGATGTTCTCATACTCCAAAAGCTCAAAGTGGAATCAAGACATGGAATAAAGAATGGAAATAAGGAGGCCTGGTGCCAGTCCCGGCCCTGCTGGATGCATCTCTGGAGAGGCCCCATCCCACTACTTAGGTCTGTCCTAAAGTTAGAGTCTACGGCAGCCTTTAAAGCTTAGCTTTTGGCTGGGCGCGGTGGCTCATGCCTGTAATCCCAGCACTTTGGGAGGCTGAGGCAGATGGATCACCTGAGGTCGGGAGTTTGAGACCAGCCTGACCAAGGAGTAAAACCAACTCTACCAAAAATAAAAAAATTAGTTGGGAGTGGTGGCGCATGCCTGTAATCCCAGCTACTCTGGAGGTTGAAGCAGGAGAATCGCCTGAGTCTGGGAGGCAGAGATTGTGGTGAGTCAAGATTGCATCACTGCACCCTAGACTGGGCGACAAGAGTGAAACACCATCTAAAATACAAAAAACAAATGAACAAAAAAGCTTGGCTTTTATTTTCCCGCTAAATATAAACAGAATGTGGAGTGAAAAGTATCAAACACAGCAGGCTGGTCAGGTGTGTGGTAGCTCACACCTGTAATTCCAGCACTTTGGTAGGCTGAGGTAGATGGAACACTTGAGGCCAGGAGTTTGAGACCAGCCTGGCCAACATAGCAAAACACTACCTCTACTAAAAATAAAAAATATTAACCCAGCTACTCAGGAGACTGTGGCACTAGAATTGCTTGAATCTGGGAGGTGGTGTGTATAGTGAGCCAAGATCCTGCCACTGTACTCCAACCTGAGTGACAGAGTGAAAATGTCTCAAAAAAAACAAAACAAAACAAAAACAAA